AGAGAGAGAGAGAGAGAGAGAGAGAGAGAGAGAGAGAGAGAGAGAGAGAGAGAGAGAGAAGGGAGAACAATTAACCGCAATGCTATGACTAAGACTAAGTCTCTGTTTTGTGTTGGGCTTCATTCCTAGCTATTCTGCATGTAGCCTGTGGGCCTCAGGTAGGGCACACCTGCCGGGATGCTGTAAATTATACTAACCATGAAAACTTTTGGTAAAATACAGCCAGAAAGTTTCATGTTTGGCAGACACTTATACAGAGGCAAAGACAGACAGATAAACTTGCTGAGAAAATGGGAAAATACAGTGAGAATAGAAGCAAGTTATTACCTAAAGTGTTTGGCCAGTCACACAAGCAAAGACATCTGTATTCAATTTAGGAGACCGACACTTCGATTATTTGCCGCAGAAAGGTTTTACTTTAAAATAAGTTGTAAGTAGTTTTGTTAATGACAACTTAAGTTTTTTGGGGAGTACAGTAAAGACAAAAGCAGGGTGTGTATGTGTGTGTAAGACTCAGTTGTGTGTCATCTGAAACTGTGTAAAGGACAAAGGCATGTTGCAATGCTAAAGCGTGGACAGGAGCAGTACGCAGAAATAAAAGAGAGAGAAAGTAATTCATACTGAAGACAAAGCATCGTGGATAAGCAGGGAGAAGAATGTGATACCCAGAGGACAAGGCTTGGGTGTCATTCCTCAAACATCATCCACCTTTTTAAATTAAAATAGTTGATTTCATTGTATTTTATTTATTTGTTTGTTTATTGAGAGATGGGGTCTCTCACTGGCCTGGAACTTGCTAGGTCAGCTAGGCTGGCTGGCCACTGATCCCCAGGGATCCATCTACCTCTGTCTCTTCAGTGTCAGGATTACAAATTCAAATCACATCTGTTATGTTTTGTGAGTTCAGGGCACCAAACTCAGGTCCTCCTTATACAATAAGCACTTTGCTGACTGCTTCTCCACAGCCTAGAGAGTACCAACTTACTGTATCATTTTCAGGTGGTATGCTGGTCAGTTCACAGTGACTATGTGAAGACCTTGGATATAAAGGATTTCGAGATTATTGCAAAGATCAGCAAGGATCAACTGAGTGGGTTTCAGTGTCTGCTGAAGGGCCTGAAAGGGGGCTGACTGGCAGCCAGCGTGTTCCTTGTTGCTATGGCTGCTGCATTCTGTTTCTTGTTAGGGAATCAAAGAAGATGGAAATTGAGCACATCAAGGAAGGAGGCATTGTGATAATAATCTGTCGACTTTAGGTGGCTATAATAGTATTGACCTAGCCACCTCTGTCGTCACATGTTTGGGTAGTTATTTTCCGTCATAGTTGCTCAAAGTCCCAGTCAGGTGTTAGAGAAGAGCCAGTCAATGACACAACTCGGGAGGAAATCCTGGACTCTTGGCTCAGCATCCCCATTTTCCACTGAGACTTATCTCTCCGTATACATTGTCTTATGGAGAGTTTGTTCTTATTTGGCAAAACTTTTCCTGGATCTGGAATGGTTCCTACTGTGAAGTGCTCAGAAAATTGGATTGTTTTCACTAGTTCTATGTCTTTTCTGTTTCCCTCCATTCTTCCTTCTCTTTCTTTTCTCTCTTTCTACACCCCTGCCCTTCTTTCAATCCACTTGCTCTCTCTCCCCAGCTCCCCTTCTCTCTCCCTTCCTCCCCACCCTCACCCCTTCTCTTCACTCATCTCTTCTGTTCTTGAACACCCACTTTATCAGGTGGAGAGAGTTCCTTGGTTTTCATCTTCTTGGAGGCAGGCTGTGTCCTCCCACAGATATCATCACAGGTCTTTGCTGAAAAACTGAGTTGTTTCTCTGAGTTTTTGAAATGGCTTCCAGGATGCTCACATGATCGGTACATTTGAGTCAACTATAATGTTATCACTTTCACTGCTGCATTACTTACCTGTCTGTGGCTGTGACTCTCAGGGGACAAACACATTTGAATGCGTTGCCATTTTACAACTTGTGTTGGTTGTACCACTTTATGGGCTCATAACAAATTTTTCAGAAAATGCAACTTCTAATGACATTTGTCATTTCATTTCCTGTGGGGCATGAGGCAGGCACAGCTTGCTCTATGCTCTGCTTCAGAGACTCTCATCGGTTGTACTCACCGCTTTAGCCCGGCCTGCGGTTCTTCCTTTCAAGGCTCAGCTAAGGGTGCTGTGCCCATGTTCTGTGACATGGTTGCTGGAGGGAATCAGCTTTCCAGGTTCCTGGATTCAGACTGCTATTAGTTCCTAGCCCCGCAAGATACTTCCCTCTGTGCAGTATAACATGGCAGCTTTCTTCCTCACAGAGATTAAGCAAGAAGTGCTAGCAAGATGGAAATTATGACCCTCTGTCACCCAAGTTTGTTAGTGATATATGGTTATGTTTGCCACATTTTACTGTTAAGTTAAGCTCCCAGGTCCAGGCTCTACTCAGTAGGAGATTTTTTGCTTTTATGAATGCCAGTAGGTAGAGCTCATGCAATCTTCCCTGCTACAGTCATCTGCTCAGTAGGTGACAATACTTTAGAAACTCCCAAAGGAGCAATTCCCCTTTAGCTGATGAAAGCAGGATGAAGGGGAATCAGGAGCCACAAGTTTCTACCCACATGTCCAGTCCTCTGCCTGATGATATCACAGTTACCACTTGTTTGATTTTCATGAACTTCTTGTGGCATATTTGTGGCAGACGGCAGTTTTCCCTTAATATTCATGTTCTAGTCTTAGTAACATGACTAATATTGCCACCTAAAGATTGTATTTCCCGATCCCTCTTGTAACAGGGAGTGATCACATGCTAAAGTTCTGACCAATTCAGTCTAGACCTCAGTGCCATGTAGCAGCTTCCAATAACTCTCCCGAACAGGATGCTGGGAGGTGGTTTTCCCTCCTCTTTATGCCTCCTTCATCCTTCTGTTTGGAATATAAATCCTGGACCATGATGTTGAAACCATGCAAGTTAAATTAGAAGGACTAGGTGTTTAAATGTGGTGTGAGCCCAGCATCCTTTTGCCTCTTGTCACTCTGGGGCTTATTTAAATGAGTGCTGTTAGGTATCCAGGTATCAGCAGGCTTGGAAGTTACTGAGGATGGATCTCTTCATAGTTAACAGCTTGTAAAAGAAAAAATGAAAATGTAGGACTCTGTTTACTGGTCAAAAGAATGGACTATAATAGGGCTGGAGAGGTAGCCGTTTTAGCCTTAAGAGTGTGTGGAGTTCTTTCAGAGAACTTAGAGTCAAACTCAGTTCCCAGAACCCACTTGGGGTAGCTTTCACAACCACCTATAACTCCAGTTTCAGGGGCCCTGACACTGTTTTCTGGTATCCGAGGTCACTCATGGGCATGCTCCCTCCCCCAACATACACATAGTTAAAAATAAATAAATATATATATTTTTTGAGAATGGAACGTGAGAATATGAGTATTTTTTTCTCTCCTTGGATAGAGACATGACATTCTGAATTGCCCAAAAGGTCACTGATACGTATCTCAAACTCTGATTACTATTTAGCAGAAGGTTTTTGGTACAAAACAAGTCATACCTCTGGCCATTGCTCACTTCCACCCCTTGTGAGTATTTAACTTTCTTCTGTAATAAATTCTTCCTATATTCTATTGATGCTTTGGGTATCTCACTGAATTCTTTGGATGGAGGTTGCAGAGCTGGATCATTAAAGAGAGTCCAGAGCAAGCTCCCAAAGCTATTGTTAGTTGAACTTACTTTCATTGCCCACCATGCCTAGTCTTAATTAGTTCAGAACGTAGTGTTCTTGAACCAACTCAGAAGCCATGACTTTCGCTCTTCTTTCCCTCCATCTTCCTTCTCCCGGTGTTCGCTGAGATTTACAGCTTCCCTGTCCTGTTGCCTTCTCTAAAACTCTAACAGTTGTTACTGAGCCTCCTTCCGAGTAAGTCCACTTCTAGACTCTTTCATTCAGGAGACTAAAAGCTTCAGTTTCCTCAGTAACAACATGAAAAAGCTTAGGCTTTGCTGTCCCAATATGATCATACAGCCACAAATTTTTGCTTTTTATCTTTTTTCCTAAATAGTTTTTTTTTAATTTTTAAAAAAATAAAAAAAAAGAAGAGGAAAAGAAAACATTCTTCACTAAGCCCTTTTCAAACGGGAACCATTTTTAGCTCAGGGATCAACAAATAGGATTTGTTCCCAGAGGACAGTTTACTGATGAATTTTTCCTTTTCACTAAGGATTAGCAGATGCCCCAGGCAAATGTTGACTTCTGCACACACTAACCTGTCTGAGGGCTCTTTCTCTCTGTTTTTGGTTTCTGGGTATTTCTTTCACTTTCTTGGTTGACTGGAAAAGGACATATACTCCTAGAGGTCACACCGTGAGGTAATGACATACACATGGAGAGCTGAGAGCTAACGTCCTGAAAAATGAAAGTTTAGTTTTCAGGAAAGAAAAACATTAGCAAGCCATGTTGATAATTTCTAAAACTTTATTATGGAACTGAAAAACTCAATTAAAATCATATCACCATCCTAAAAACCCACAAATTGCATCATTTCTCATTTCATTTGATTTATGATTCTAAGGTGACCAGTATATTTGTATTTTCCAAAGCAATGATCATTTTCCCAATAAGAGAATAATACAATTTTACTGTATTACTTAGATCATTTAGTTCTATAAAACATTGTACTCCAAGTACAAAAATAAGTACTATATGCACATTCTTTAATACTGTTTTTTTAGTTATCTTTCTTTTGGTACTCTAGATAAATCCATATAAATAACAAGAAAATGAAAAGAAGCAAGAGATTGTCAACACCTGGAAACTGGAAGTACAGTTTGCTTAAAGCCTCCTTCTCATTAAAAGATAAGAGATAATAATATCTGACTATATTGCAGCCACAAAAATTAGTTAAAAAAAGAGATTTCTGCATGAGAATGGAACTAAAAATACCAGTGATTAAATATTTAACCCAAGTTAATGATGACCGATTTAAATAGACATGTTTGCAGTTTGAGCTCCCAAATACGTCCTAGGAATTACAGTGGAAAACAAATTTCAAAATTGTGTGTTGGCAAAAGGTAGGAAGACCGCACTGCAAATCATTTACTGCCAAAACATGGAGATACGGCTTGTTAAATAAAGTTTTGAATTTTATAAACACAAGCATACTTAGAAAACAGAAATGCTTAAGGACCCAAATGGTTTCAAGTAAATAAGCCTGGTGCCGACTGATCAGCACCTTAGATCACTGTGCACGTTCCTTACAGCCAGAGTTAAAAGTTTTCCAGAAACTAAACCTTTGTCTTCTACTTTTGCGTAGTTTTTGGTATTTTTCTGGGGAGAAATACTTGAAAACTCATTTGACTTAAAAAAAAAAAAAAATCATCGCTCATGTTGATGTGTGGGAGTGCCGGAAACACTCAGGGTAGAATTGGTTTATTTTGGGGATTCCAGCAGACCCAGTCATGTTCAGTTTGGAAAGTGTACGGCGTGCCTGGCCTGGATTCTGTGCCCACTGCAGAGAGGAGGAGAAACACGCGTGTTTGCATTCCTTGTTTCTGGAGGAAGGGTGGGTGCGTAGTAACAAAGACACATTCGGTCGTGAATGAACAGTTGGGCCAATCAGTACAGCCTGTAAAATTGTCACCATTAATAAAAGTGATAAAACGGAGGGTGAGCATTACGGAACATAGCCAGTAGACGCTATTTTCCATTAAAAAGTGACGAAAGCCTTGTATAGGAGAAGGTGGGAGAGTTTGGGCGAGGAAGCTGGAGAGAGACGGGAAGAGTGAAGTTAAATGCGAAGGAAATTGTGTTCGGGAACATTCAGGAAACAGAAGGGAAAAGGCAAAATGGAAACATTTACACGAGACATTCTTTCTAGTTTGAGGGAACTAGCTTAATTGAAGGAAAGGTAACCAGCAAAAGCTCTGAGAGTCTTCTGGTGCTCTGGGAATCTTGGGAGGGTAAGCAAACATTCCCAAGAGCCATCTTTTATCTTATCCCCCGTCCAGTCTGGCCTTAGATGGTCCTGGTTCCGCCAAAGGAAGGCGGGACTGAGTTCCACAACCCAGGGAGAGTGAGAGGAAAATGGGGCCCAGATAAACTGGTGAGAGGGACCCCAGAGGGAGGGTGGCTCTCAGAGGACTTGGCAGAGAGGTGATACATTCCTTCAATTCACTGTAGTCCTGCACCAATCAGCGGCTGAGCCAGTTAATCCCAGCTGTACCTGAACTCAGGAGAACAGGAAGTCACAGTCCAAAGACTACAAAACCAAACCAACAGAGCAACCTCAAAGCCTAAGTGGGGGAGGGTGTTGCCCTAGGGAGATACCTGAGATTAAGAGGGAGGCACTGTTGGACTGGAGAGATGGCTCGGTGGCTAGGAGCACTGACTGCTTCTTGAGAAGACCAAGGTTCAATTCCCAGCACCCACATGGCAACTCAGAACTGCCTGTAACTCCAAGATCTGACTCCCTCACACAGACATACAGGCCGGCAAAACACCAATGCACATAAATAAAAGTGAATTATTTAATTCAGTCTCCAAAACGATCGACATTTCCCTGGATTTGGTTGGAATCCGGCCTGATTTTAGATTCTAGAATTCCAGGAAGGAGTTGACAATATTTTCTGTACCTTTGTGTTTGTTTGCCCTTGAGTTCTACAGACTTTCACAAGGGCCACTTCTTCTTCTTTTTTTAAAATGGGAATTCTAGTGCTATGTCTCCTAAATCAATAATAAAACGAGAGTAGTGATTGTATTCAGTGCTGGATTTTGACTTTCTGTTTTGAACATACATTATCTGTATCAAAGTGTCACATCCTTATAACCTCTGTCTCTGGCTATAGAACTCCCCTCCACCCCCCATCACTAGCAGATGTTCTGAATCCTCAGGAACATTTTGGCAAGCAACACTTTTACTGCACTCTGAAGGGATGGTCTCTAAGCAACCACGATGGGTGTCTTTCTTGGAACAGTTTCACTATAAAAGGACTCAGTCATGGTAAGGGCTCCTACACACACTGAAAGAAGATCAGAAGAAGGGAAGGACAATGAAGCTTGGTGGATTTAATATGAACTGGGTAGAGAATTCAAAGCTAACCTAAAGTTAATATAACTGTTTGGAGCTAGTTGTGGCATTGTGTATCAACAATCCCAGCACAGGGGGGCCAGAGAAAGGAGGACCACAAGTTTGAGGCCAGCCTGGACTACAGAGTGAGAAAAACAAAACACATTCACTTTTGTCTTTGAAAGGACTTTTTGGCCAATTTCTGATTATGACAATATGATAATGTGACTGATTTACTTTACCAGTGTTTGAGTTCAGCAAAATGAGTCTGAGATGAAAGCAAATAGTATGGACAAGTCAGGATTTCCAGACAAGAAAACGTCATTTTTCACTCCAGTACTCAGTGCTGGCATGGTTTCTGTGATCCAGGCAGCCTTGGGCAGGGTAGGAATTTTGAAGGAAAACAGTGGCTTAAGGTATTGAATAAATACAGGGCTTAGATTTGTCTCAAGCATATTTGAAACACATCATATTGATTTCTAGGAAGTCCCCAGAGGTTGCAGGAACAGCAAGATGCTCATCTCTGACAGACTGAGGGGAGAGACTTTTCACACCAAAAATGAAAATGGAACCTTCAACATTTCAGATAGTTTTCACGAGCTCAGGTCTGGAATTATCCTACACTGTAGATGATGGTGAATACCTCTTATGAAGCCTCCTGCTTTTTTATGGTCTCTTTTGATTTTGTGAGTGATGAAGCAGCTGTGAGCCAGTAACTGAGACAGGGGGTTTACTGTCTGTGCCTTGCTATTCACTGCCTAGTTCTGCCTGACCCCAGCTCCTGGTACGAAGAGTGCTTACACCAATTTGTTAGGGTTTTATCACTTTCCCAAGACACGCAGGATCCTTGGAAGAACAACTTTTGCTGTCAGTGGCTCTTCAGATTTCTTTTAAGCTAAAGGCTCCTTAACATTTGATTTTGTTGAAGAATACTATTCACATTTCATGAGTAATACAATGAGTAAGTCACACAGTCTCAGGAAAGGCCTTGCCTTGGGGAAGGAATGACTTATGATCACGAGGGATCTGGTTAGAGGTTGGTATCTTCTACTGAGCATTCTGTGAGTCTTATTCTTAGAAGGAAAGGGTCTTCAGAAGGCTCCATATGCATCTCCTCGGGTAGTCACTGCAAAAGTAGGGTAGACCTCATAGGTTGTATATGCCGCTAAGTCTTGTCCAAGCGTCACCGCTTGCTTGAGCTGGGCTGCAGACACAGGGGCAGTGGCACTGGGGACAGCATATCCTGGAGGAGGAGGAGGAGAAGGCAGAGAATATGTCATGAAAAGAATTCAGATTTCCTCCCTCTTTGGTACATTGTTTTAGCAATATGAAGAATTAGCCTGTTGCTTAACACAAATGATATGTATGATGAAAGTGTGCTCTGAGAAGAAGCAGTATATGGACCCAGTTGTGTAGAATAGCATTGGTGGTTTTTGTTTGTTTTGGGGGGTTGGCTTTGCTTTCTTAGGTTTTTGACCTTAAAACGGGTCTTTTTTGTAGCCCTTGCTAGCTATCCTGGAACTCTCATGTCAACCAGGCTGGGTCTGGAACACATAGAGTCCCTCCCGCCTCTGCCTCTTGAGTGCTGGGATTAAGGGCAAACACCACCCAGCTGGAATAAAATTGGAAGATTGAAGATGACATTCTCCAGAGGGAATCAACTTCCCTGTGTCAGGCTTACTTCATATCAGTAAATAGAGATGTCGTAAAGAGGGTCCAAAAAACAGAAAGGTACCATATGTTACTGGTCAGCACTACAGAACTTGCCCAGGGATGTATATACAGGAAAGTATACGTGAGGCAAACTGTTGAGGTGTTAGCAGGGCATAGTAATGGTGGGGTCGATGGGCCTGGTTCTGCTGAACAGTACACTGGCTTAAAAACTTAAAATATTAAAAATGTCAGGGCATGGTGGTTCATGCCTTTAATCCCAACATGCCAGGAAAGTAGGGACAACAGCAGGAGAATCTCTGTGAGTTTGAGGTCAGCCTGGTCTACATAGAGACTTCCAGACAGCCAGGGCTACAGAGAGAGACCCTGTTTCAAATAAATAAACCAATAAATAAACTACTTTCACACAAGATGAATAACTAGAGACAGAGTATTCTAGTAGAGGAGATGCTGTACTGTTTTTAGAGTGGCTTAATTGTCACCTTAAAAACAAGTAATTTTTAAAAAAGATTTTTTTGTCAAAAACTGCGATCTGGTTTATTTTTATCTATTACAAATGCAAAAAAAGATCCCTCATCACATGAACCCTGAGAATTACACTTTTGGTTTTCTGTAGAAAAGTAACACAAATTACACTATAAAAAGTCTTTGAAACTGGCACAAAACATTGTTCTAACGATATAACACCAGTTTTAAAAGTTCAGTAACTAATGGAGGTAGCCTTATATGGATACATGGAGAACTGTAAAAGCTATCTCATTTGACCAATGAAAAAGATACCTTTTCTTTCTGGTTTTTGGATAAAAGCTAAGCATGCTTTCCCTGGTACTCTGGACTTGCTCTTTTTCTGAAGAAGTCCCACACACTTCCTTTGCTGTGTGGCTATTTGTGGGCCGCCACTGCAAACAGTTGGCTTACCTTCCTTCATCCCCATTTCCCTTCTGGAAGCTGCTGAGATTTACAGCTTGCTTACCTGTTGTCCATCCATCCATCTATCTATCTATCTATCTATCTATCTATCTATCTATCTATCTATCTATCTATCTATCTATCTATCTATCTATCTATCTATCTATCTAAACCTCTAATGTAACTGTCCTCAAGCTTTCTTTTGAACCCATTTCTAAATTCTTATATTAAACAGACTAAGAACCTTAAAGGGACTCTCAGGTTCTCTGGTCACACCAGGTTCAGTGAAAGACTCTGTCTTAAGAGATGAGATAGAGGGGTTGGAGAGAAGGCTCCGTGGTTGAATGTATACTGTACGCACAGCGGGTCAGACTTTGATTTGCAGCACTCATGTTGAGTGCTCAAGTGCGTGCAACCCAGCTTCAGTGGCTCTAACACTCTGGCCTCTTCAGGAACCTGAACTCATGGAAAAACACACACACACACACACAAGAGTAAATCTTTATTTTTTTTTTTAAAGGATGAGGTGGAATGTGATAGAGAAAAGCAGCTGACCCTGACCTCTGGCCTCCATACACACTTGCATGCAAACAAACATTACACACACACACACACACACACACACACACACACACACACTGTACATACACAGGCATACAGACACAAACAAAACACAAAAAGTAGAAACAAACTCCAAACAACTACTAAAGGTTAGCTGATAGTGGCCAACTTGCTTAATCTTTGAAGTCCTAGGATTCTACATCTGTAATATAAAGGGATTATGTTCTCACACAACTGCAAAGTGCCATGGAGGGTAACCAGGGGAACATGAAGCTTTCTGAGCACTTCAGTGAGTACCCAGTTCATAGCAAGAGCTCAGTTAAATATCAATTAATACTAGTACCAGAGTCTCTTAATAAGAGGAAAAAAACCACTCCAAACTGGCCGGGACTCATGGGTGTTGGCTCATTCAAGGACACACAGCTGCTTAAAGCAGAGGCAGGTGGGAACTGGCTTAGGCTGCTCTGGCTCAGTTTCCCTAACTCTTTTCTGTCGACACAGGGTGCAAGTCAGAATTAGTGTAGGCGAGGTTCCTACCAAGGAGGGATCCCCACACATTCCGCAGCCTGCAGTGTCTGCCACAACGGATGCCCCTCCCCAGTACCTGGGAACACAGTGGCGGGTGTGACTGTGCCCGCTGCAGACCCAGTGTCGCCTCCTTCTGTGGGGATGCCGAGGGTCTGCAGAGTGTGCTCTGCAGCGTACGTCTTCGCTTCATCCACATAGGCGCTTAGCTTCGGAGGTGTGAAAGGCTGGCTGGAAAACACAGTCAGCCATTGTTATTTTTATTATTGCAGGGAGTTGTTCAGAAACCTCAGTATCTAGTCAAGTGGAAAACCAAGGCAATTTTAACTTTTAAAGATGATTGCATGGTGAGAGTCTATGTTGCTTTCCCCTCTGTTTGCCATAAAAAGCTTGGTGGCGCACGCCTTTAATCCCAGCACTCGGGAGGCAGAGCCAGGCGGATCTTTGTGAGTTCGAGACCAGCCTGGGCTACCAAGTGAGTTCCCTGGGGAACATATGTAATTTTTACTATACGACTCTTCTAAGGTGTGTGTGGTCCCTAAAATATATAAATGCAACCTGGAAGTGAAATCCACTAACAGATCAGATCTTTGGTATAAAATTGAAAAGGTGCCTCAGAAGGCTATGTAGTAAACAGCCACGTCATGAGGGTCACTTGTGTCGACCCAAACGCTGCAGGAAGGAACTGTTAGAGTTCTTTGTTCCCCTTCGGTCTCTCGCCAGCCCCTTGTGTTCCCTCAATCAGTTACTCACTCTATGAAACTTGGGGGCTTTTAGATGCCATCTAACAGCTGGCGCATACATTCCCGCTCAGCATCTTGCTATTTCATTTAATTACAAAGGAGTAGGTAGCAGACTTGAGTATGCCATTCGAGTGATGATCGAATACACTTAACACACAGACTAATCTTACTCTAAAATCTCTATTACTAGGAGCTGGGAGAGGGTACGCACATTGCGGGATTCTGGCTGGCCAACGCTGGGATAGTTACTTTGTATAGGAATAACTGTCTTTGGTCCTGTCCAATGGCAGAATGCAGCTGGTACACTGGCTGTCCCCAGTTATTTTTCTGACAGATTTCTTCTAGTATCTGCAAGAGTAAAAAAAAAAAAATGATTTCTCCCACAAATGTCACATTTGCATTGCTTCTCTAGCTCTTAGGCTCTGAGTTCTGAACTTCAGTTTCAATTAATAGAAGAGAAAAAAACGCCACATGACTTAAAGACTCATAAAATTTAAGTTGAACTCAATCTGAACTCCATTTAAACTGTGAATGTCTATTATAGTTTATAAAATTATTTTTACACCATTCACTCCAATAGTTTTAGTTTAGGCCATTACACACACACACACACACACACACACACACACACACACACACACACATATCACACATAACACACATTTACTATAAGCTTAATAATTCTTCATAAGTTTTTGTGTACTTATTCCAGTTTTTAGGAAATTGGTGCTGTAGCACTGTGTGGGTAGATTTGCATAATATCTCCCCCCCCACCGCCCCGCCCAGACTTGTTCACAGTGTCTTAGGAAAGTTGAGCAGAGAAGGTATTTTTTACTTTGTGCCATCTGTCGTAGGGTTTTTAACCTCACTTTTGGAAAATTTTGAAAATGTTGTTTTCTTGATTTACTTCATTCATTTTTACTTTATACATATGAGTGTTTTGCCTGCATGTATATGCTTCACATGCATGGTGCCTTCAGAGGCCAAAATATCTAGAACTGGAGTTATAAACAGCTGTGAGCCACTATATGGGTGTCAGGAACCAGACTTGTGTCCTCCATAAGAGCAGCAAGTGTTCTTAACTACTGAGTCGTCTTTTCATTCCTTGGGTCAGAATTTATTAATAAACACTAATAGGTATTCACCGTGGTGATTTCTTTAAAAAATTTTTACTTGGCAATGTGCTACTTTAAGCTACTTATGACAATCTGTTTTTATGATCCATTTGCATGTTTATTTACTGCTGTAATCACCCCAAACTGAATCTTTTCTCAAAAGATTCATGTTTTCTTTACCCTAGAGCCAGTTTTGGTGATGCTGAGGTCCTGATCCTCTCTGTTCACATGCAGATTCAGTATCTGTGTCTCACAGGACAAGGATGGTCCAACAGGACACTGCCCCCGGCTCTCCGGAGCCTCTTAGCCTCTTAACATTGTTCTCATGTTAACCCAGCCGCTATCTGTCATGGCATTTTCCAGTTTATTAATTTGAAGATTGTGTTGATTTTTCCCCATTATAAAAAAGCACTTGGTGGCATCTTCTATGGTTTATAAAGTGTGTTCTGAAGTTCCCGAGCAATAGTCACCTAGCTTTTGATGGTAGACTAGCTGTCTACCCATTTATGCCCATTGAGTAAATATACTGAGCAGAGTGGCTTCTGCAGCTGCTGTCTGGGCAGGGCAGTTCTTGAACCCTGTCTACTGATTGGAGATTCCTACTTCTGGGAGGTATGGGGGTTAGTTTCCAGCCACAGTGGCTGGGGTGGTATGGTCTTTGATTTTTCAACTATAGCTGTAAAAATTCAAAGACAAATTAGTTACATACCTCTCATTATGGCCAACTTCTTACCTGCATTTAATGCATAAGCAGAGAGTTTTGCTCAGAATGACTATTTTCGTCATGATACCTGGTTTCATTATAATTATCTGTTTATGTGTCAGTATTATCCCACTGGGTTGCCATATGATTTATGATTACAAGGATTTTTGTTATATTCATTTTTGCATCCCCAGTGTCTAGCACACATGGCACACAAGAGAAGCCCAATAAATATTATTTTTTATACAAAGGTTCTTGTTTACCACTGCAATAGACATTCTTCTGTTTTTTTTTTTTTTTCTTAATGCCTGGGTAGAGTCTGAAGAAGCATTACTTAAAGGTACATGAAAGAAAAATACTGTCAATGGCCCCTCTTTCATTCTCAGGTCACGCTCTTAGCTGCCATCTTTTCCCCTTGCCCACAGTACTGAGACTATTTCTTTTAAGCTGTAGTTCTACCTTCCTCCTGAGGGCAGGGACATTTCCCCCAGTGTCCACAGACTGTAACTCTAGCCATTCAGCAAAAGTGGCTTCAGAGGGAGCAGCACATCATGCATAGTAATGGGATAACCTGGGCTAAACAGGGATTGAGTCTGTTTTGCTTTAATTTTCAAACATGGCATTTTGCTTTAATTTTCAAAAATTGGAACAACTTTTTATACCTTTTGGTTTCCACTACTACTAAATGAAACAGAGACTACTAAATGAAAGCAAATAGCAGTTACCATCATGACACTGCCCAATAAATAGCATTGTAGAAGGTTTTATGTAATCGATGGCATTTTATACTTAAAGATTTATCTAGATTCCACAGTGGAATGTTCTTTATATTTTTAGATTATAATACAATGATAGCATTTCTCCCTTCCCTTTCTTCCCTCCAAAGCCTTCCACATGCCCCTCCCTACTCTCCTTCAAATTCATGGCCTTTTTTGCCCATTAATTATTATTACATGTATATATGTATATATACACATATATTCCTAAATAACCTGTTCTGTCTGTAGGATGTTACTGTATAATGCATGTGTTCAGGGCTGACTGGCACTAGACAACCAATTAGTGTTTTCTTTTGGGAAACACTTTCTTGGGAAAGGCTACCTTTCTTGCTCCCAGTTTTACTCAGTTGCCTATAGTTCTTTGTGGAGGGTATGGTCCAGGGGACTTTTCCCCATCCACTTTGGCATGTCCTTTGTTGTTGTGGTTCTTTTAATGCCATGTTCCCAAGAAAAGACCTAAACAGTCTACATAACCCTCCCAGCTATGACTCCTCATCTCGTCTCTTCCGTGGTTGACCAACCTGCTTCACTAAGTGTTTGTTCTGAGCTGGGGTCTTCACTTCATTGTATTTTCATTAAAGATTTTAGTTGACCCTCTTTTTCAGTTTTCTTTCTTTGTTTTGCATTTTGGTGAATTGTGATGAAACAAAAACAAAGGTCCTTTTAGTGCCAGAGTGGCATCCAGTCTCAGCAGTCCTCCTGGTACGTTAGGCTCAGTGTCACAGAACAGTAGCCCAAGTAAGCATCAGTGCAAATCATTTGGACGATGGTCCCTGGCCCAACTTAACCACCTCTAGAGTGATATTACCTACCTGAGGAGCAAGTTTAATTCCTTGTGGTTTTAAAGAGACAGGATTCATTGGGGTGAGTTCCATCCCAGGTAGAAGATCATAAAGTTTGTCTTCTCGCTTGTCTCCTTTGACCTGGTAGCCACGACCCAGGCCTGTGTATGCCAAATACCCACGGCCGCCCAGTCCTCTCACTCCCGCAGCCCCTACAGGGACATTCATGTAAATTTCTAGGAATGTAAGAAGGCATTAAACCGAATCAAACCACCAGAAAATCACCCTGAATCTTACTGTAATAGAAAAGTTAGCCCAAGTCACATTGATTATTGCCATGAGGATGGACAGATAACCAAAGATTCTCATGTAATGAAACTCAACATCAGGTAAGGCCCACTATAGATTCTCAGTTTCCCTTCCAGGAGACTGATAAGTACACAAGCAATTTAAAATTTTGCCAGAGAGGAAAGTATTTTAATTACCATTTTGTCAATATTTTTTTTTGAGATTCACTAAGGTTCAGTATGAACTTATTAAAACATCCCAACATAATATGACCCCCCTGAATTATTGTTAGTCTGGTACAGAGACCATTACAGTGAATATTGCTCCACCGGTAAGCCAGAAGGAATTTGATTATCACAGCCCCAGAGCGTCATCAGAAAAGCATGTAGAAAGCATTTTTGTCTTTTTTAAGTTCACCACTCTCTCTGGTATGCATTGTCAATGTGGGGTTTACATTTCCATTGAGTTTCACACATAGATTCCTTTTGATTTTTGTTTTGCCACATTGCTACATTGATTTACTATTGGTGACATAAAGGAATAAACTATTAAGTTGATCACTCTTTGCCCATAAATATTATTCATTGATTACTTTTTTTGTTAATGCTTTGTATTATTTTCCCTTGGAATGGAGTTTGCTTTTTTTCTACATCACAACTGGTTGATAACATGTAAGATATATGGATTAATTAATGATGTATTATATATATGCATAATGTTTCAATGACATAGCTTGCTATAATATAGAAAGTATTTTGAATAAAACCTTGATTATAACTTTTACATTGCAAATTTGGTAGGGGTGATTGTATTGTGAATGTAGACTTTAAGCCCAGTGAAGAGGCCTTAAATTTCTCAATTCATTTTTCCATGAAAGAGAATGTAACGCAGTAAGGCAATTGTTTCCACAGTAATCTGGATGGGCCTCTTCTAAGTTGCCCAAGAGTGGATTTCAGTACATCATTAATTCCTATTTTCCAGATTGCTGTCATATAGGAAAAACAGGACTGGGATCCAGAGGGTGTCAGCCACAACAAAGAAAAACTGCAGTGGAAAATACCACAAGGCAGAGGCAAACTAGCTACATTCATAGTACATATATCTGTATGTACATTCATTATATATGAACATATATAAATTTACTGAGCTCAGAAACCTGCTCAAACAGAGAATCTGTGTAGGATTCAATCACGAAATATTTGCAGTCTTGACAGTGAGATTGAGTTTGGTTTCTATTTTGAATTTATTTAGTTTCCTATATACTAAAGAAACATTCATTTCTTTAATAGGTTGGCTTTTTCAATGTTATCATACACACACATACACAGCCAGATGTGGTGCACACCTGCCATTACAGTTCTCAAGAGGCAGAGGCAGACATTGTGAGTTCAATACCAGCCTGGAACATATGGTAAGCCCTTGTCACTAACATATAGACAAACAAATGAAATAATAAAGGTATAACACACATATCTGGAAGAGTGTTAGATGAGAACGTCTCATATATATAACCATACAGATGTTAGTGATTGGCATACAAAGGTGGTGTCCATCAAGTACATATGTGCCTTCAAGTGATTTTGCTAATTGTAGTAGTTTCCATTGGGCCATGCTTCTTTCCCTTAAAAGTTCTGTAATCAGTCTAATCAGGTACATATTAGTGCCAGATTGTAGTCTAATAGAGAGGAAGAAGCAATGGGTATGGCACTAGGTTGTATTCTGGGTATATTTTATGGGTCCATGCAAAGATCTAATTTGTATAATAGGCTCATCCGCACCAGTTTCTGACAATTATTTTTCAATAACCAGTTGTAATGTGGAAAAAATAGATTCCTAAAAAAAAAGAGGTAATGATATATTTGATTTTTCACAAGCAGTTTTCTAGTCTTTTTCTCCCAGTGAATCTGTCCAATCTGTCTAAGGCTCCAGAACTATAGTTTATAGTTCATTTGAACCACAGTTTATCATCATTTGAAAGTGAAGAGTTAAGGTAAATCTGGCACTAAATAGTGTTACCTCTGATAGAAGGGGCCCGGATGAGGGTCCTGTTGCTGAGATGCCCTTTGGGAGCTGGGAAGTGAAGACTTGGAATGGCCGCGTAGGCTTGGGGGGTATAGAAGACAGGAGCTCCAAGGTAGGTTGTGGTGGGGTCATAAACATGGCCCAGAGGGTAGGTGTATTCTCCTTGCAGCATGGTGTTCCTGCCACCTGTGCCCCGGGTGTACCTAACATAACTGTCCTTGTCCACTGGCTTGGCCAAGGTCACTTCAATTGGGGAACCATCCAGCACCTGTTTCAGAGAGCAAGGAACAGGAAAACTGAGAAACAATTCTGACTACTCAGTATCATGCCACATGCCTGCCATTTGCCTTTGCTGTATTTTCACTGACTTGCAATTCTTCATGTTTTTGTCTCTTAATTAGGTTCATGCTTCTGTATAAGTTGACTGCTCTCTGAGTTCTTTTGTTGGTAATTGAACAAGATGCCAACAGGTTTTACAATGCTATGTTGACTACTGAATTTATAATATAGAGACAATCAATGAGATAAAATTATTCAATATTTTCTATTATGTGTGATATATGTGTTTAAAATTACATAGTTACAGAAGTATAAGAAGTTGGAGATCTTTGTGGGTGGAAAACAAATTACACAGCACAATAAAATGAAGGTGATGGACACCATTAAAAATATCTTATCATTTATCAACACCATAGTGATGAAGTCCTGTCAGGCCTTTCTGAATGGCTCATTAGAGCAGCTAGCTCCACAATAGGTGAGATTTCCTGGGGAGGGAGAGGAGCCTAGGTAGATCCTACTCAAGGAAGAAGAATTGACTAAACTGTTGCATAGTCCTTCTAAAGCAAATGTTTGCCTTGCTAATGAACAGGGGTGGCAGGGGTTGGGATACAGATGAGAGGGAGACCAAGAACTCTCAAGTCAGGTACAAATTAAAACATGCCCTTAGGAATTATTGCAGTAGCCAGGCAGATGGCATACACTTTTAATTCCAGCACCAGGGAGGCAGACAGGAGGATCTCTGTGAGTTTGGGGCCAGCCTGATCTCTAGAGTGAGTTCTTTGACAGCCAGAACCACACAGAGATACTCTCTCTGTCTCACAAAACCAAAATAAATAAATAAATAATTAAAAAAGAACTAAAAAAGGAAAGAATTTTTGTGGTACCTGGGGGAAAAAGGCCTGAGTATGGAGGTCAGAGAGCAATTCTCTTGGTCCACGGTGTGAGTCTTGGGGACTAAAATCAGACCACCAGACTTGTTACAAAGACCTTTATCCTCTGAGCCATCTTGCTTGCCACCCAGTGCAATGGCTGGTTTCCTTGAATTTTAAATATGATGAATTCCTTACAATAGACATTCAAAGTCTCACTTTGTCTAGTAAACATAAATACCCATAGGTATACTAAGAAGCCTGGGGAAATTATTTTTTTATGTTATGCTTAAACAACAGTTATTAGTATTTACTAGTAATATTTATTCAATGTGTAATTAGCTACATATTTGCAAGCATTGTTATAGAAATGTCTAGGTACAAATAATAACAAAATTTCCTTATTGGGCACAATGTGTTATTGGCTTGAGCTATTTTGAAAGAAAGCAGTACATTCAAGGTTATTGATAACTATACAAGCGATTTAAAATTTTGTTATGGGGAAAAGAATTTTAATTACCCATTTGTTAATGTTTTTTTCTGTACATTCACTAAGGTTCAGTATGTTCTTATTAAAACATCAGAACAATATGACCTCTTGAATTACAGTTAGTCTTGGCATAGAGACTGTTGGAGTGAATGCCGCTCTTTCTGTCAGTAAGTCAGAAAAGAATTTGACTATCCTATCCCATGCCTTCCCCACCATGATGGTCTGTTTCTTAAACTTTGAGCCAAAATAAAGCTTCCCTTCCTTAAGAAGAAAAGAAAACAACAACAACAAAAAATTGTAATAGCTTGAGCAGTTTTCCACTGGAATTATTCTGATATATTATATAGCATTGGGTTTTGTGGGAGGCCAGCTCCCACCTCTTACAAGGTTCCTATGAGGAGGAGAGAGGCATAAGGAATTTGTAGATAGAAAGATAGTGGAGATGAGACAGACAGAAACACGAGATAGCTTTGGGAGGATCTGGATCAAAATCCTCTGGCCACTTCTGTCTCTTCAAAAGGGCGTTTTATAAGAATGCCAAGGGGTGGAGCAAAAACTTCCCCCTTGCTAGATCAAAGTATATCTTTCAGCCAAGTTCAGACCCTTCCAAACACCTGGTAACCACACACATGGTCAAGTCATCCCCTTATGTAGCCCTGCTGGGTAAAGCAAGCTCAGACCTCACTGGGAAACTTCTGTGAGCTCCCACAGGGTTTACTGTTGTTGGGCCTTCTCCATAGACACTATGTACATTTAGGCATGTTTACTAAAAGAAAGCTAGCTTACAAATTGATTTTGAAGTAGTAACATTTTTATGATACTAACACAGTAATCAATGAAGAATAATGTTTTGGTCATAGGTACATTTAAATATGAATTGATTTTACTTCATAGTCTTTATAGTCCCTCCCCTTTTAAAAATACTTCAGAATTGCCACTTTCTTCCATAGAAGACTTATGATGATGATGGCACCTGAGACTGTACATGCCCCAGGCTTCTCTGTGTCTCAGTCTATGCTAGGAAGCCTTTTTCTTGTCCTCCCGATCAAATCCCCATCAATGTCCAACCTGCACTCTGCTCTGGTGATTATTACTCCACATAAGGTCTTCTTCAGGGTTCCTGGGCCCTCTGCATTGTCATTGGATTGGCCAACAAGGAACTCTGGCTATGAGGATAGGGAATGAGACAACAGTAAATTTGGGGTGTGTTTTCCTGGCAACTTCCCTGAGAGGTCATCTTGGGCCGACTGTAGTCATTGACCAAAGGCATTTCAGATAAAGCCTCAGGACGGTATGATTCCAGATCAATGTCCCTTTCAAAGGGACCTGCTCTCTGCAGCTCTGTCTCATTTCAGTATTCTACTAGACTCTCAACTCTTTGACCAACATCTTTCCTTTGATTAGTTTGCATCCTGGACACTACTAGCAGAGCAGTGGCCCATAGACAGTGTTTAGTGCTTATTGGATTGATGTAAATACTACATGGGTCTCTATAGACAAATGAACACAAAGAATGGAGAAGTTGATTTTCCCCTGACCCCACTCTTGATAAGGAGAGGGATTCTAATCCTCCGTGTTGGGAAGAACAAATGCTGAGAGCAGAATGATATTTTTTGACCAGTGGTCATAAATTACTATATTATAAAGTGGGATAAGTAGAGATAATTGGGACTTGGGAGATATGGTGGTTTGAATGAGAATGCCCCCACAAGCTAATATGCTTTCATGTTTAGTCTCAGTTGATGAAGTATTTGGAAGGATTAGGAAGTATGGCTTTGTTGGAGGAGGTATGTCACTGAGAGTGGCTTTGAGGTTTTAAAAGCCCACACCAGGCCCAGTGTCTCTCTCTGCCTGAAGCCTGCAGACCTGGATGTAAAGCTCTCAGCTACTTCACTAGGACCATACCTGCCTATCTGTTGCATGTTCCCTGCCATAATGATAACAGACTCAGTTCTGAAACTATAAACAAGACTTCATGCTGTACAGATATCTTTCTGTGCACTGTGAATATGTGTTGCTCTCATTGGTTGATAAATAAAGCTGTTTGGCCAATGGTGAGGCAGAATAAAGTTAGGCTGTACATTCAAACTGAAGACAGAAATGAAGAAGGGTGGAGTCAGGGGAGACACAGTGAGCCGTGGCCGGGAGAAGCAAGATGTGAGAGAACAGGTAACGCCACAAAGCCATGTGGCAATGCATAGATTAATAGAAATGGGCTGAATTAAATTATAAGAGCTAGCTAGCAAGAAGCCTGAGCCATAGACCACACAGTTCATAATTAATATAAGCCTCTGTATGTTGACTTTATAAGCCGATGCAAGACCGTGGGCGTGAGATATTCAACTCGTCCAGAGACACCTCTGGCTACAACCCCAATTAAATGCTTTCTTTTATAAGAGTTGACTTGGTCATGGTGCTTCCTCACAGCAACAGAACACTAACAAGGATGAGAGAAACATCTTGAAAAACTTCAATCCCTTCTTCCTAAGAAAACTGAGGCTTAGTGACTTGTCCAAGTCAGAAAAAAAAAATTGAGTTGGGGTTTACTACTAGCTATCTTTTTGTTCTTTGTATCTTTTTCTGTTCTCTCTCTTTTGTGCATCACCAAAAGACTGCTCTTGGTGTTGGGCAAAGCTGGGATAAGATGGACTCCTGAGATTACTCTTTGGTATAGTGTGCCCATACCAAGCTTGGATGGAGCCTGTATATTTTTCTTTTCTCCTACATTACCTTGCCATTTAAAGCTTTCATAGCTTCAACTGCGTCTTCTCGGTTACTGAAATGTACAAAAGCATAGTCTCGGATCTTCTTCACCCGTTCCACAGCACCTGTAGATATAATTCCAGCAGCACCATCAGCAAACTTGATACAGTGATGTGATTAGCTTCCAAGTGTGGAAGCACCTTGTGAGACTCCTTTGTGTGTCAAGGTCTAAAATTCTGTGTAGTCAACATGAGCTTTTGCTTACCACAAAAATATTTATAATCTTATTCATTAGAAATAGTTATGAATTATGTTTTCCAATTCCTAGATTATATGACATCGAAGGGTAAGAATAGCATCTTTTTGCATATTATGAAATACAAAAGATAATAATATTCTATAAAGGTAAAGTATTATTAAATTAACTTGAACCCAGTTACTGGTTGTCTTATACACATATATTCAACTTATTTACTTCAAAATACAGTTTTATCTGGTAGGTTCAAAGCAAGGTATAGGAGTAAGAAAATGCAAGTGGAGCTAGAGCAAGGTGATGAGCTACTTCATGCATGGAGAGGAGGTAGTTGTATCCACTGGCTGCTGAAGTCTTCCCCCAGACTCTGTTGTGGAGAAGAAACATTGCTACACAATAATTCATGGGAGTGAGAGAAGGTAGAATTTCCCAGCCTGTCCCCATTGGTCAAATTTCACCCCAGGAGTATAACCCCTGCCTCCAAGTCTAGTTAGTGTGGCTACATGAAATGCCTGATTCCAAGTCCTGTGGTGGAACATTTATCCAAGTCTGCTGGGAAGAGAGGGAAACTCTAGACATGTGGATGAGCACCCTTGATTAATACCTTTAAGTAGAAAAAATGTTGCTTCTAGAAGAACATGTGAAATCAAAATAACTTGTCTGAAGTATGGAAAGGTTGGAAAAATTATCTACTAATTGTGACTTGTTTTTGCATACACACAAGGATTTTCTATAAGGACACAAGTTATACCACTGTAGAAATAGCAAAATTAAACAAGATCCATTTTCTCAGAAATGATTAAATTTATACTAGCTCCATTTAAAGAGATCAGAGTAGGTTTCATGTACTAACATGGAAGGATCAAAACCCTACTGTCTGTTTCTAAAATTTGTAACAGGATAAAATATGAGTATCTGTTCTAAGTACCTCAACCAATGTATAAATACACACAAATTCAAGTACACCTGTATCCAGAGATAGATGAAAAGGTAGAGATTGGACTGCAAAGAACGGTTACTTCAGGAATGGAGAGAACTGTTGGGGAGAATGCAAATATCTCAAATATTTATTTTACTTTTAATTACATGCGTATGCATGTCTGTGTCTGCGGTTATATGCACGTGAATGCAGGTACCTGTGGAGGCCAGAAGAGGGGGTCAGATCCCAGGGAGCTCAAGCTAGAGGTAGTTGTGAGTCAGCTGATGTGGATGCTGGGAACTGAATTGGAGTCTTCTGCAAGAGCAGCACCAGCTTTTACCAATGGATCATCTCTCCAGCCCCAAGAATGAAAACATTTTAATTGACATAGTTTTATAAATATTAGCCATTTTAATTTAGTTTATTGTGTAAAAACACCCAGAAAGCAGAATACCCTGCTTTCATGTAGAAGGACTGCTGTGTACCTTGATGATAATGTGTGGGGAAAAAAGTAGTTATGCCAAGATGCTTGATGCTATCTTTTAATTGTAGCTGATCAACTCCGTTTTCAAAGCAAACTTTCTCTTTAATTGATGATTAAATGGAAACTTATTTCACTACCACTTGAGCACACTGGTTATCATTCAGCTTACATTAACCTGGGTGTCTTTTAAGTGTCTAGGTTTTCTTCAGTTACCCAGAGTTCTCAGAGTCAATGTGATGTCACACTGTTCTCAGGAAGAAGAGGAAGAGGAAAATATCCTCTCCTTATCAAAGTTCAGTTCTCTCAGACTCAAGGCCACTAACACGTTTAGTGCCAGTACTCTACCACATGGTTCAATGACTATGAATTGCCATCCATTGGAATAATGGGTGACATGTCATGTAAGGATAGATTTTAAAACATTGCAGTAGTTTGATTCTTTCTTCCCTTTACAGTCATCCATCGGCTTCTTGTGACAGTCATTATACAGAGCAAAATAACATGGCTAGATTGAGAAAATTAAATGAAGGTGCATGAGCCCACAAAGCACAGGGCATATAACCAACTGAGCTTTTGTGTCAGTCTGTTTGCCCCTTAGGCTCCATTCCATGGCTTGTCTTGGTAAATGAGAAGTAAAGAGTTAGCCAGAATGGCCTCCATCCTTCCACTCCACTCTGCTCCTGTGATCTATAGTTTTCCTGAGGAGGGAATAATGTTTGCTTTAGCCACAAAATATATTGCTTTTGCTTACTTCTTGCCTAGTGCCAAGAATACAAGAGCTAGTCTATCAGTAAATACACACAGAACCAAACATTATCAGTACTTCCATGTGCTCCCAGCACTCACATTAATCATGTGGCATTTATGTTGATAATAGATTTGGGTGTTCTGAAATTCTTGCTAATATTCCAATCATTTTGTCTGTTTTGGAGCAATAATATTCAGACACGTCTGCTTACAGAAAGCTTCACTTGTGAACATCTGAGCACAGAAAGTAAATTAGAAGGTAGGGGTTTGGACAACACAACATGGATTTCTTCTATGAACTAACCAGACTTAACCATACTTAGAGACCAAACAAGAACTAGCATATTCAGGCTTAGATGGTCATAGACTAGCTTCTATATAATAGCAATGGCCATTTGCCTCACTTTAACATACTTCTTCTTAGTTCTTGCAATCATTTCTCATGGGTAGTCCATCAGCAAAGAACTAGATCTGTGATCAGAACACAGGAATTAGGAAGACAGACTGAAGATATAGTCACCAACCCAGCAGTATTAGCTTCACCAGGGAACTTAAGAAATACAGATGTGTAGACCTAAGCAGATGAAGTAGGCAATCTGTGTTTTCAGCAGCTCTCCAGGTGAGTCTTTTACTGCTGACCAGTGTAAGTAGTCAGATCTCATAGAATGACTATACTTAGAACCACAGCAGACACCCTAGACTACATGAGGACAAAATATTGATGGCCCTGGGTTTTTGTGGCAATTGTCATTTGTTTTTCAGAGTATCAGTGTAACATTTTTTTCCAGGGAAGACAGGGTTCAAATTATATACAGAGTCATATTTTCAGGCTCCTCCAAAAGATCTAAACTTTAAACAGAAAAATTTAATATTTTTCCCTTTCTGCAAATTTTCTAATATAGCCTCAATATACTATATCCTTGCACTGGAGAAGAAATTTGTGGCTTTAATTTTCTTCTCTCCATAGGACAGATATCTGCTAGTTGTTTATATTCCTTTGCAGAAGGTGAAGCAGGATGATCTATAGATCATACCCATCATTACAGAGCCTGGGGGGTTGTGCTACTGGCCCAATAAGTACTCTGGAAATGAGGGAATACTTTAGGCTGAAGATAAAGAAGGATAACACAGTAATGCTGGGGGTGGTAGTGGTTGGAAACATGGGAGGAGGTAGGGGAGGACAGAGGAAGAAGGAGAGAAGAGACAAGTTGACATTGATTATTTTCTTATAGCTTCTGGGGTACCAGCGTCTAGGCATATCTATCATACATATGCAGACTGGACCAATAACCATTCACTATAAAAAGAAATAGTCTTTTGGCAGTTTCTCATTCTAACCTCTTTAAAAACAAAAGCAATATTTTAATTAGATGGGAAAATAAGTATTATTCACTCTGGGAAAACAAAACATAACCCAGAATGGATGAAACATATGTGTATACATACTCGGTCCTGGGCCTACACAACTGCATCAACTTTCAGCACTCATCTATACATGACTTCTCTTAAACACGAGTTTTCTCTGCATTCCAAGAGTAGGATGACTTAGCTATCACTTTTCTGTAAATTCCTTCCACACACAGCTCACATCTGTTAATTCCTCCCACGGTGCATGGCATGTTGGAGCTACTGAAGGAGAGCAGCTGCATGAATGAATGAGTGAATGGAATGAGAACGGGTGTGGGGGTTCAAAAAGTTGTTAAATCTGGGGTCTGCCAGCTGCTAGCTGTGTGACTATTTAGCTACTCTGGGCTCTGTTTTTCATGTATAGAAAATAACAGACAGCATGAAGGAACCTCCACGATAGGTTTATGAAGGACAATTGGCATGTGATGTGAATATGCCCACTCTAATTCCAGGGGATTTTTTTTTTTGTAATTTCTGTATTACTTATGGATTCACAGTTGTTGGTTTGTAGCCACACCATGATATTCAATGTCAGGAAAGGCAGTGTTCTTGTGGCTGAAGGAAGATAAATGTTTGAGACATCTTTAAAAGGAAAAAAAATGTTACTCCTGTCAATTATCTGCAGAGTAAATCATAAGCTTATCATCCAATTATACACATAACATCATATCCACTTATAGGAAACAGACAATCTGAGAGTTTGAAGACTGTCAGAGGCTTAACATGATAGTACCAGAGCCCATGCTTGTCAGAATTCTATAGAACTTGCCAGAAGCCCAAGAATTCTCAGTTGTGGGAAGATGTTTCTATAATAAACACAGGCTGGTGTGACTGAGTATGTTCCCAGACATACTGATGGAAATGACTAGAGATGCTTTGGGTTGTTATCTGGGGTAGGTTGCTATTGCTGCCATGCAGTAGGAATGGACCTTGCATTTTGCTCAGTACTCTGAAATCTACCAGGCTGATTCTTATCACCAAGGATGATTAGTTCCAAAATGTCAGTAGTAAAGAGGTTGGGAAATCTTGAGTTGGTTAGACCTCCAGTAAGAGGCAGGTGTCACTAACATAGTAAATATTTACTTAGTTCTTAGTCTGATGGTTGGACAGATGAGCTAATTAAAGGAAGAACTCATAGAGTAATGGGCAATGGCCTCTGGGATGAGTGTTTTTAAAGTATGTTTTGAAGAAGTAATTGCACATTTGTCCTACCTGGTTTAATACTGTTGAATTCTTTTTCAATCATCTCTTCCGAGGTAGACAGCATAAGGTTCCTTACGTACAGGATTTTCACTGAAGACATCGTGTCTTCATCAACTTCGACTTCTGGCTCTGCCCAGTCTACTGCAATAGGATGTCCCCACAGCTGAATTCTTCCTGTTGACAATGATCAGAAGAATAATTAATTATTTAGAAATCACAACATCATCTCAGTTCATGCTGATGGTCTTTTAAATTGAACTGACCGTTAAGGTCTTAAATGACTAAGACCACTAAAAAAGATTATTATTGATTTTAAGACATTCAAATAATGTAAGAGTTGGATAGAAAAGACTTCTGTGTGACTAGTGGCTTATCGTAATGATTGAATGTAAAGAGAGGTAGGATGTGGTTTGAAATGGAGAAGACGGGAGGAAGTGGTGGGCACATTGGAATCTCAGGACAGCTTTTATAAGGTAGGGGTAGTTTTTAAGGTGAGATAATGAAAGGGGAGAACAGCTAAGAGAGGATTTAGGGCTCAGACACAAGTCTGACTCCATGAAGCATTAAGAGGTCTCTTGGACAGCATCCGCTGTAGTTGGATTATATTGTCTATTAGCCACAGATCAGTACTGAGATATGTAAAAATGAGCAAGGGTGGCTTGAACAAAGCATTCCTTGTTCTCTGTCCCTCATACTTGATCCAATGCTCAGACCAACTGTGTTCCTTCTTCATCCTCTGTCTGAACATGAGCACTTTGGGATCTCACGGAAAACATATTTTTTAAAAATCGTAATTCAGAGAAGACTAAGGGAAAAGTTGATAAGAAATGTGTCTCATATAGAAAGAGTAGTCATTATCCAAGTTAGCACACATTCCTGTACTTCTACAGTGCTAACTTACTGGACGTTTCTCACTGTACTGTGTGTTTCCCATGAGCCTCTCAGTTCTTTCTTATCATGACCTTGTGGAAGGAGGGGGTGATATCCAAATTTTACAGCTTCAAAGTGGGTCATTTGACAAAGGAATTTCCCTTCATTACTCCTCTCCCCTTTGAGTTTTGCCACCCAGCAACCGTATTCCTGGAGGCTCCATGTTGAAGGGGTGGGAAGAGGATGAGAAATGAACTCAATTTCCACATTCTATGGGAAATCTTGGTTGTGTTTTCATTCATTGATTGGAAGCAAGCTGTATCTTGTAGAGAGCACAAAACTTGACAGAACAAAATCAGGTCTCATTAGTGTTGGGAAGGATTTCTTTGTGTAATTATTATACAGGGGAAGCAAATATCCACCCTTTTATTCCTTAATAACCAATCATGATCTTTGACAGAGGTGCCAAGAGCATACAATACAGAAAGCATTGTCTCTTTAATAAAGAGCACTATGGAGCATTGGGCACAGTGGTACTTGTGAGGCTGAAGCAGGAGGAAATCAAGTTTGAGGTCAGGCTGTGCTAAATAACACAATTTAAAAAGCACAGCAAAATTAGTGGGTAAAGTGGGTATACTAGTCCACCTGTAAAAATCAGGCCTTTATTCTAAACCATATAAAAACAGTAAGCTGGGGCTGGAGAAATGACTCAAGAGTTAAGAGCATTTGCTGCTCTTTTGGATGACCTGCTTTCAATTCTCAAAACCTACGGTGTGGCTCACAGCTGCCTGTTAACTGCGGTTGCAGCGGATCCAGCACCCTCTCTGGCCTCCACAAGTACCAGGCACTCATTTGGTACATAGACATGCATTTAGGCAAGACACTACCATACACAGAAAACAAATAAATTTAAAAAAAAATAGAACTACTAACTCAAATGGATAAAAGACCTACATGTAAGACCTGAAACTATAAGACTACTAGAAGAAAACACAGGATAAACATTTCTTCAGATTGATCTGGGCAATGTTTTTTCTTTTGGCAATGATTCCTTTTAAAAGGCACTGGCAATAAAGTAAATAGAGGTAAACAGAGTCAGATGAAACTAAAAAGATTTGCCTCACAAAGGAAACAAGGGTGTGAAGAGATAACCCAAGGAGACTTTTCAGTAGAGGAAAAAAGTTTGAATAAAATGGCAAAATATTAAGTCCAGGTCTCCTTGTCTGTGAGCCTTTGGTTTGGAAGCTTTGGCTACTGGCTAGTGCACTATGGGAAAGCTTCAACATGGAAAAGCATCCATTACTTTAATAGATTCAGCAATTTCTAGATTTTTACACAGTCTTTCTCACTCAGAAGCTAGCATCCAAATGTTGAAATTTTCTAGAGGACTAACCCCAATACTATTTTGTTTTGTATTTAAGAATGTATGCAGGAATTTAGGACCCAGAAATAAACTGAAAACCCATTGGTACCTAATTATTGACAAAGGTGTCAAAAACATTCAGTGGGGGGAGGGGGAGAAAGGTGGAGGGGAGAAAGGAAAGAAGGGAGGGAGGGAGGATGTGGTGATATTTTATTTTTGCTGAAATGTGGTGATATTTTATTTGTATGTTAATAAATAAAGTTTGCCTGGAGATCAGAGGTCATAGCGAGGCATAAACAAAAGTCAGGCAGTGGTAGCACACGTCCTTAATCCGATCACATGGCAGGCAGAGTCTCTGTGTGGTCAAGGACACAGCCAAGTGGTGACCTGAACCTTTAATCCTAGTACCAACCATAGAGACCTGGAGGTTTGTATAGACAGGCTGTGAAGAAGAAGTGAGGTGGCTGGGCTAAGAGCCAATGAGAAGGCAGAACAGCAAGGCAATAAAGGCACAGGTTAGACAGGAAGAAGCTCTCTCTTGGGAAGCTACAGCGATGTGGTGAGCTAAGGTTACTTGATGGCTATCACCGTTTCTCTGATTTCTATGGCTTTCAACCCTGTATTTGACTCTGTGTTTCTTATTTAATAAGACTTTAGAAATTTGTCTACCGAAGGAAGGAAGGAAGGAAGGAAGGAAGGAAGGAAGGAAGGAAGGAAGGAAGGAAGGAAGGAAGGAAGCTGTTTCAAAAAGCAGTGCTGGAAAAACTGGATATCCAGAAGAATAAAATTTGATTCATACCTTTCTCCCTGTACCCCCCCCCCCGCCCCAAATCAACAAGAAAAATCAACTCAAAGTGAATCAAAAACCTTATTTTGAAACATAAAACTACTAGAGGAAAACATAGGGAATACACCTCAAAATATGGATGCAGGCAAGAACTTTCAGAACAGAGTCTCAGTGGCTCAGGAACTGGCCCCAAGAATCAGCAAATGAGATCATAAAAAAATTAAGAAGTTTCTGCATGCCCAAAGAAACTATCAGTAGAGCAAGCAGGCAGCCCATGGGATGGTAAAATTCATTACCATCTGAAATACTTCAGAAAGATGGCTAATATTCAGAAAAGAAAACTGCAAAAACTAAACACTCCCCCAAACTGCCAGTCAGCAAGAGTGCTAATGAACAGAAACAAAAGACAAGAAACAAAACAAAATAAGACAACAAACAGCAAATGGCCATAAGTAGTTTTAAAAGCATTCAACATCCCTCATACCAGGAAAACATATACTAAGACTGCTTTGAGGTAGCACCAGACTGGATAATATCACGACATCTGACAGCAAATGCTGGCAAGTGTGTCGGGGAAAGAAGAGTCATTATTCACTGCTGATGGGAATACAAACTAGAATAACCATTATGGAAATCGGTATGGAGGTTTCTCAAAAAGTTAAAAAGAGAACTACCATGTTATCCTGCTACAACACTCCTAGGAATGTACTGAAAGAACTCCGTATTCTACTGGAGATATCGGCATGTTTTTTGTTGCTCTATTCATGATATTAAGGAACAAGAAACAGCCTAGATATTCATCAACAGATGAATGGACAATGGAAGTATGGTATGGATATGCAATGGAATTTTATTCAGCTGTAAAGGAAAATGAAATTAGGGAATTTGGAGAACAATGGATGGATCTTGTGCTGTTTAGTTTTGGTCAACTTGATGGAAACTAGAGACATCCAGGAAGAGGGTGTCTCAATTAAGAAACTGTCTCTATCACGTTGGCTCGTGGGCATGTCTGGGGAGAATTTTCTTCATTGCTAGTTGATAGAGGAGAGCCTAGCCCGCTGTGGGTGGGGTGGGGATGTCACCCCTGGACACATGGTCTTAGGTTATATAAAAGAGGAAGCTGGACATGATCCAGCAAGCAGGCCAGGAAATAGTGTTCCTCTGAGACCCCCGTTTCCATTTCTGCCTCTAAGGTCCTGCTTTTGATGGGCTGTGTGAAACCTTTGAGCCAAGTGAACCCTTTCCTCCCCTAGTTGATTTTGGTCAGTATTTTATCACAGCCACAGAGAAGCAACCTGGAAAATCTGGTATTAAATAGGGGGACCCAAACTCAGAAAGACACAAACTGGGTTTTCTCTCATATACAGACCCTAACTTGGAATGTGTATGCACATGTCTGTAAATGGGTGTAAATGTGGGTAAAGTTTGAAAATCTAAAAAAAAAAGAGAGACCAAAAGAAGATTTAAAAAAAAAAGTTCTGAGAATGAGTAGGGCAAAAGAACACATGTGATTTGAGAGTGGAGAAAGGCTAGGGAGAGGTTATGTAGGGGAACCAGAGGAGGGAAAGAAAAAGAAGATGGGGGGAGGGGGTAATCTAATAAAACACTCTGAAAAATGCCACAGTGATATCTAATGCCTTGTGTACTAATTTAAGAAAAATGTATGCAAGGCTAGGACATAGCTGGATTCTAGAGAGCTCCCTCTGTTAACCAACAGCACCTAAAAAAAAAAAAAGCACAACCAAGAAAAACTGTATAAGGGCAAACTAAATCCAGACCTTTGTTGCTCAGCCCCCACCTCCAATCAGGTAGCTCTCACAGTTTTCATAAGAAGAGAGGACCGTGAAGCCACTCTAGATCAGTGGTTCTCAACCTGTGGGTCAGGACCCCTAGAGGGTCCCTTATCAGACATTTACATTACAATTCATGGCAGTAGCAAAATTACAGTTATGATGTAGCAACAAAATAATTGTATGATTGTTGGTCATCACAGCATGAGGAACTGTATTAAAGGGTCGCAGCACTAGGAAGGTTGAAAACTGCTGATCCAGATAGTTTCTGCCATTAATATGAATTCATGTCAGCATCTGACTGTGGAAGTTTTAGTGAATATTTTACAGTCAACTAAAGACCTTTGAATATTTGCCTGCATTGGTCTGACCCAGACAGTGTTGTTAGGTTATTAAACTCTGGAATTGATGTGGGTGCCCACATGTGTCTGAGGTGTCTGAGAAAAATGCTTATGTTTCTTCTGTCCAATTAGATGGCAATGATTTAGAAACTGGGAAGCACATTGGTAGCATGTCTGTCAGTTGCCCTTGGGATGGTGTACTACAGGCTGATGTGTGTCTACAGTGTGATAGGTTGAACATAGCCCAATTCTAACTAGCCTGTCAGCTTAATCTACATGCAGCTATATCTATGATGAATTTGATTTGTTTAATCATAAGAAGACTCTTCACTGAGGATGCTCTGTAGGGTTGCTATTGATCATTGTTCTCCTGATGAACTGATGTGTAACTTTCCAAAGCACATCTGTGAAAACTTTAGGGAACTGAATCAACTATGAGAAAGATGAGCAAGATGAAGAGCTTAAAGGCAGCCTAGCGAGGAAGCTCAAATACTGCAGGCAGAGGCACACAGCACTGCTCAGGAGGGATGCTCACCTGGCAGTAGCCTCCTCCTAGCCATGGCGGCTGCACGGTGACTCTCATACTCCACAAAGGCAAATCCCCGGTTTTTGGTTTTATCTGCTGCACTTGGGTAGACGATGACATCAACAACTCCTTCCGTGACCTTTTTCATCTCTGATAAAATTTCTTCTCTCTTCTTGGTTTTGGGGATTCCTCCCACAAACAGCCGGCAGTTGTCCACACTGGCACAGACCCCTAGGAGACGCCCATTCCTAAGCGAAGGGGTGGGTGGGTGGTGGAAGCAGTTTTCATAGGTAAGAATCCGTGTGTAATGGAGGATGGTGGCAAAGGATGTTTCAATATAGACTGATCCCACCCGCTTCACCATCCCCACCCCACCCCCAGCACAGTTTTCTTTGGTGGTACCAGGGCGTGAAACCAGGGCCTTGCAGTATGTCATAGATTTGGCCACTGATCTATATATGCAGTCCTGACCCCCAATCTAAACCAAATTGAAAAGAGCCAGCAAGATTGTTCAGTGTGTAGAGGTGCCTGTTAATAAGCCTGTTGATCTGAATTCTGCCTCTGGACTCACATGGTGGAAGGCTAGAAGGAATTCCCATAAGCTGTCCTCTGACCTACACACTCATGGTACACATGCGTACACACAAAGTAAATAAAATAAAGTAAAATAGAAATGGTCTCTCGTCTGTTATACATTTTCTTATGTCAGCTTAGCTGTCCTAGACAAAAGAGCCTTCAAGATGAGCAAAATAAATGTTATTTCTGTTCTATAGACGATGAACTTGAGATTCCAAGAAATTAAGTGATTTGGTGAGGTTCTTATTGACTTTGAGGGGTGAAACTGGCCCTGGGCCTCTGTTTATTCTACCTTGTGGCATTAGTAAGGTGAAGGGTGCCTTCACTGGCACAGATAGCAGACAAACTTTGAATGTACATAACTGTTGACTCAACAGTGCTCCTCTGGAATAGACCCTAGCAGACAGAAGTGAGGCCCAAGCCATAGGTATGAAGATGATCACCATCAATTAAAATATCCAAACTGTGAATGAACAGTGTCTCAGAAGACAGAGATGTTCTAAAGCAGCTTTGTTGAGATGATATTTTCTTGTGTCTGGACATAGCCTTGTTGCATACCATAGTATTAGTCCTGGCTCTTTTAAAATACTTTCCTGGTTTTATGTGTATGAGTACTGTGTCCACACATATGTGCAGAAGAAGGTTTTGGCTCTCCTGGGACTGGCACTTTAGACAGTTGTTAACCACCATGTGGGTGCTGGAAACCAAATCCAGACAGTCAGCAAGAACAGCCAGTGCTTCTAACGGCTGACCCATGGTTCTTGATCACTCGGTGCCAATGAACAATTGTCAGGTCATCCAAAAATGCCTTCTTCTTTCTAACTGCCTTTTAAGAGTGAACATTGTTGCTTCTGACTGAGAAGATCTAGTGAAGAGAAGACAGACTTTCATACTGGAGGATGAAAGCCACTAACAATAGTAACATAGAAGCATGTTTGGCAATTAAAAAGCACTCTATGTCACACTGCTCAGGTTTTACATCACACTGCTTAGGTTTGTTTGTTTGTTTTTTTTTTAAATGAAGAATATAAGAATAAATACATGGTGCCATTCTGTTTTTAAAACTATGTAGAAAATCTGGAAAGACAATCAAATTTCAACATATTATCTTAGGCACCAGGGTTGTGAATGAATTTGCCTTTTGATATTTTCTATATGTTAAATATTAGGCTGTGGGTTTTATAAACAGCTCGAATTACTGAAAACAATGAGACATCCTTAACAAAACCTCCTTGTTTGTCACGAGTAAAAGGTCTTCTTTAGGTGAGTATGAGACCGGTCTGATTCTCTTGGAACTATCGGCTCTTGGTTATCAGGGGTCAGTCTGATGATTGCTTCTCTTTTGCTGAAAGCCAAGGGCAGGAGTCAGACTTGACAAACCCATCTCACTCTGCCAATGTTTCACAGAGAATGCAGTTTCTTGGGTAGGGGGTTAATAAAGTGGTCTTCCTGTTGTTGTCGTTGTATATTTTATTATTTCATTCTATTTTATTTACACAGGAGTTCAGGCTAGTCCCAGACTCACTATATAGCCAACTATGATCTTGAACTCTCAATTCTTCTCCCTCCCTGTCTCAAGTGCTGGGATTGCAATTGTATGCTGGTTTATGTGGTCCCTGGATTAAAATTCCGGCTTTGTACATGCTAGGCTCTACCAAATGAGTTTCATCTCTAGTCTTTAAATTTTCCTTAAGAAAGCATAAACACCCCTCTCACTTATTTAGAGATCATATTTTTGATGGTTAGTGGGCTGTTCTGGTATCAGTTGCTAGCAGGAGGAATCTAGAGCTTCTAAATTGTGTGACTGGCCAACATCCTTTCCCAGAATTGCCTGGAGACAAAATACAATTTCTCACAAGCTTAGGGCATGACTTTAATGTCTCCAGAAGCCGGGCACTCAGAAGATGTTCAGTGAATATTTGATGGGGAGGAAGATGATATGATAACTGTGGGTCTTTTCTGGGTAATAGCCTCATCCATCCCCTGAGAAATAGTGTCTGACAGCAAATGTTATTGTTCCTTTCTGGAAGAAAGGTTTTCTCTCTGGCAGATGGACCAAGGCAGAGTGGGATTTCTGATGATACTTCTTGGCCTCTTCTGACTAGTTCATGTTGAATTTATTCCACCTCCTCCTTGGTAAAGGTTCTCTGTTTAGCTTGCTTCTGGCTTCTCATTGGAGATTGCCTGTGATCTTGGCCACTTTCTCTTTCCAAATTCTTTATCACATTTTTTTTCCTCATTCTTTCCTCCCCACTTACCACTAACACAGTTGCCAGTTAGCTTACATAGCACCCGGTCCTTTGAGGTGCAGAGATTTAAGTACTTTATCTTAGTTTATTTCTATGACATCTTGTGAGTTTTATAGAAAAGACAGTGAGATTCAAGATACTGTTAATGAACAGCCACCCTGGCAGCCTATGGTGTTTATTTTCCATACCTTATTTATTTTCAATAGTATTGGCAGGCCCAAGTGGGTAACCATGGGTTGAGTAGATACAGCAAGCTATCAATCTCCTACACAACCAAGTCCATGTACATTTCAACTCAAAAGGCACTTTGGGGTAGCTTTTACTGATAATGTGTCCATATTTCACAGAAGACTGAGGGATAGGACTCTTCCCATCACTGAAACCATATAACTAGGATATCTGAATTCTGTTTGAGTGGCTACCTTAATCTATCTGAACTGCTTTTTAAAAAAATGGTATAGTTTTTAATTTGTTTTTTTTTAAATATTTGTTTATTTCTTTTTATGTATATATGTGAATACCTTAATGTATGTATGTGTACCATGTTTGTGTCTGGTGCCTATGAGGCCATAGATGAGGTTAGATCTCCCAGAATTGGAGTTACATACAGGTGTAATTCTCCATGTGGGTGCTGGGAACTGAACTCAGGTCTTTTCCAAGAACATCAGGTGGTCTTTAACCACTGAGCTATCTCTCCAGCCCCCGAATATTTTTATTTGTAATTTCATTATAACAATATTCTTTTAAAAAGTAACTCTGATATTAAAAAGCAAGGTTAAATTATAGCTTTGCATAGCCCTTTCCATATTTGTCAGTGTATATTATTTTTGTATGATGTTTCAAACATCTCTGTGTGAGGTCACCGAGTACAAGGATAAAAGTGATGCTCTGAGAAGTCAAAGGATTTTACCAAAGGTTCCTGACTGTGAATACAGGTTCTACACACCACACAGATTTCTTTTGGGTTCATAGAAGTATGTGTGGGAGGGAAGGCCTATTTGCTCTTCCTCTCAGATTGTTCTAGAATCCAACCTGAGGATTGACTAAAGTAAAGGTTGCCACACCCAGTCATTCTTCATGTTGCTAAAGCTGGATGATGGCATCGCAGTCCTTTAATCCAAGCACTCTTGAGGCAGAGGTAAGGAGATCTCTGTGAGTTCAATGCCAGCCTGGGCTACAGAGTGAGTTCTAGGACAGCCACGGCTAGTTGTTAATTGCTTCACAGAATTATGAGGATGCTTGTAACTTAATGTACTTTCGTATAAGTAGAGAAACCATTAGAGAGAATGCCACTCTGTCAGTGTTTATCAGATTTAAGATTCTGTCAATTTTAAGTTTCATCTGCATTATAGAAGGGGGTTAAATATGGAAAACTGGATCCTGGTCTTGGTTACAACGTTCTGAAATTTTCAAAATTCTTTAAATTGTCTCTACAATTAAACCCAGGAAATGGATGAAATCTTCACTTTATAGATGAAAGTTGGGGCTGGAGAGCTGCATTAATGGGTGGAGCACGTACTGCTCTTGTAGAGGACCTAATTTGGTTCCCAGCATCCATGTAGGATGGCTTACAACCACCTGTAAGTCTAGCCATGGTACATCAGATGCCTTTTCTAGAATTTGTAGGCATACACACACACACACACACACACACACATACACACACACACACACCACACACACTCACACACTTAAAATAAAGTAAATCTTAAATGAATAAAAATGGGTTGCAAAGAAGCTAAACTACTTGCTGGCCCTTAAGTGAAGGTTGTTGATCCAGAGATTTGCTGTTTCACTGGTCCTCCCAGATGGCCCGGGGCTTTCTTTAAAAAAAGGTTTTATGGCAGGTTTTGTCTCAAGTGAAGTTTAGAACTCAGTTTTATAAAAACAGATTATTGGTTCTACAGCACCAGTTATGTCCTGGTGTCCTCCTGTGCCCCATGCTTTTAGATGACATAGAAATGCTGTAACTCTGAACCTTCTCCTGCCTCCACTTTCATAAATTCACCCTGTATCTTTCCTTGGGTGTCTAATGTGCATCTTTAAGATCAAATGCCTCAAGTAAACGTTTTGCATGCTTCCCGCTTTTCCCCAGTTTCTCTATCCCAACCGCACACCATTCTCACAGATACTTGGATCCAAACCCCATGTTATGGCCCCCAATTCTGAATGTGCTCACAGTAGAAGTTCCATATCTAGTCATCGTGTTCCCTTCCTTCAGCTTCCTCAATATGTCTAGTTCTTAACCCTTTTTGTCCCCTTTGCTCATGATTCCTCATCAAGTCGCTGTCTAGATCTAAAGTGTGCCTCACCCTTCTGCATGGTTTCCCTCTTTCTGCCTCTGTTCTACCAGTTTGCTGTCTGCCCAGCAGCCATAATAGTGCTTTAAGACACATAAAGCTGACTAAAATTCTTTTCTTATTCCAGGTCTTTCTATCAATAAATTCAGATTCCTTAGCAGGGCTGACATTCTCCAGCTCCCTTTAACCATCTTCTCTCCTTCCCCTTCTGGATTTTTCTTCCTGTCTGTCAAACATCAAGTTTGTTCTAATTTTAGGAATTTTGTGTTTGCTATTTGTCGCTTTCCCCCCCTTAATAACCTGGTTTGGGGTCTGACTATCTTAACTGAATTTTTCATCCAAATATCAGATCAAATTTCACTTTCACAGGCAATATTTTCTTAAAATGGCCAAATTCAAGTAACATTTTCTTCACACAACCTATCCCACCTTGGTTTTATATTTTTCAAATTCTTTATTTCATCTTTTGCATTGTCTTCTATGGGGACAGAGAGTACCTTGATACAGTTCTAATCTCCTGAGCAGTATTGAGTACATATTAATGAAATTAGTTAATCAATAAATTTTATCTCTGTGAACTTTAGCACCTCATACAGTCATGAAATTAAATAAATGTTTAGCCAGATCATTTTCACCAAAGAAACATCTAGCTTTTTATTCCTAGTTTGGCTAGTGTGTGCACATTCTCTATTAAGTAAACAATAGAAAACAGACATAGGTGAATTTCTGGATTCAGCTTGAGTCTCGAAGATGAGGAACTTACCGAATTTCGTAGTTATTAAGTTGCTTGATTGCATTCTTGGCTTCTTGCTTATTTGAGAATGTTACAAACGCATAGCCTCTGTTGTTGCCATTAAAATCCATCATCATTCTCATTTCATAAATTTTACCAATCTGTGATGAATAGAAACAGAATATTCCTATTTACATATTTATACTCCCAGATGTATGTGCATGCACACATACATGTGCACACACAGGCACACAAAGATACTTGCTGAACTGCCTCCTGCCATGTTTGCCATTTGCATCCATGGGGAATGGTTTGCATACTTTTATGGTGGCTTCAGATTAATTATCTAACTCTCAGGAAAATCCAAGTTAAATAAAGAAAATATAGACAAATGGCATTTCAGCCTCAGCTAACAAAACGTGCTTTTGGCTGAGCAAATGACCTTTTGTCATACAACTTGGAGATTTATGTAATGTCCCAGGGAGCCCAAAATGCATTTGTCATCTGAAGTACAGTTTCTTTATAGATTTGCTCATGCCTTCTGATTTGTCTTCTAATGTCTCCATGGATTGACCTTTACTTGGTTATAGTCTGCCACTGACATTTAAAACAGGAAACAAGGATACTCATTTGGGACCTTGCTAAACTAACTTCCTGGCCACCGTTTCCCACTGCCATGATGTCAGAATAAATACAGTGTATTTCATAGGGAGGCCTCTTACGTTGGCAATTTCTAGGTTGAAAATGAATGCTAGCCTCAATACAACTGGCAGAGGACCAGAACCTCAGCAAAAGAGCGCTTGCTCTCTCCATTCTATCACCCTTCTGCTTACCCTTGCTCTCCTTCTTCTGCGCTCCAGCTATCCTGAACTAATCCAACCTAAGTGGCTTATTACCCCTAGCTTTTTTAAGCAGGGTGGTTCAAATACGCACAGTAGGCATGTGGGAGGAGATGCCAGTAAGCCTGTCAGTTACTTCAGTTCTTGGCTGCCCTCTGCTTTGCCTTACTCTACTCAACTCCAAAGAGCTCGTTCAGGAGCATCTATTTCTTCTTGATGAAAGAGTGAACATTTTTTCCTGTTTCATGTGTTACCCATTCTCATTTCCATGTTAAGAATTAAAAAAGTGTATAGTATTTTTGGTATGCTATTTGAGATTCTGTGTATAAAACCAGTGGCTCTGACCCAGAGGCTGTACATGGTGACAATTGACTTTTGTCATTTAGGGGAAGAGCCAAATTCTCATGCTAAATGTGCTTGCTGGAAAAACATACCTGGCAAAGTATTAAAAATTAACTTTAAGATTGTACTTTTTTTCTATAATTTTGAGTTTAGTATCAAAATGCCAATTGGAACTAGGGAAATGTTTTCCTTAGTAATCATATAAAGACACTGAGTAACCACGCTCTTAATCTGTTCAGTGCATTAAGTAAGATAATCAATTCTACTTGCAGAAGAAAATTTTATTTGAATCAATATGTATAGATACAAATTTAAGCCATGACCATCATACATAATTCCTTATATGAAATACTGTACTTTATAAAGTCATATTAAGATGTCAAGTTGGAGCAGTATCTTGATGGATTGCTACACTGTTCTGTATTGTTAGATATATTGAATTTGCAGTGATTCAGCTACCAGGAGAGAGATGGGGGATATGAATTTGAGAGTTGTCAGTAATGGTCTTTCAACTTATCAGTTCAAAAGACAAAGAGCTGGGCAAAGGCACTAATAATAAAGGAACAGTCATTAACAGATGGGAAAATTTATCACTGTCCATGTTTGGTGTGAGAGACGTGGGAGAGAATCATCAAACTGGGCATGCTGAGTGTGAGAGATGTGGGAGAGAATCATCAAACCGGGCACACTGAGACGGCCCAATGGGTGAAGTACTTGCCGCATCAGCATGAGGACCTATGTAAAGCCAGATGCAGTAGCACAAATCTGTAATCCCAGGGCTCCTACAGGGAGCTGGGAGGCCAAGACAGGAGAAATCTGCAAGCTCATGAGTCAGCTAGCCTTGTAATATGCAGCGGTGAACAAGAGAGCTCGACTCAAACAAAATAAAATGTGAAGACAGACACTGATGCTGTCCTCTGATCACCACACATATTGTGTTGCATTCATCCACACTCAAGCACATGAACATAAATACACACACACACACACACACACACACACACACACACACACACACTGTATACATACATTTTACACAGAGATTTTTAAAAAGTTGAAAAATAGAAAAAGTAAACTAAAGAGAATAATATTTTTCTCCTAGAAGAAGAAATTAAATTTGGACTCACTTTTTCACACAATGGTATGAGTTCATCCTCAAAAAGGTCCCGGGGAAGTTTTCCAATAAAAATCTCACAGCCCCTTTCTGGGGGTGCAGCATCCCAGCCTGGTGGAGGACCACCGTACTTTCTTTGTCCATTTTCCTGTGTGTCCAGGGAGGATGGTACATGAAGGAGAGAAGAAAACATCAAAACCTTTAGTTTGTTTTCCTTATTTAAAAAAATCATTTTAGTTAAGGACTATTTTAGGAAATATTTGTCATTGTCAAGTAATAGTAGATAACCTTCTAGAACATAAAAGTTAAAGACTTGTCTATATCTGTGTGAATCTTAACGCTTGTCTGTTCCAAAGGCTTGCTCAAGATAAACATGATTGACATTTGTAAAGTGCTGAACTATATGAGAAGTTATTCAAGGATGTCATTACACAATTTCTCATCAGTTACAACGTTTTAGAGTGATACTATGCATCCTAAAACAGAGGAGTGATTCAGAACCCCACTACAGGTCTAGGCAAGGAGACGAAGTCTGTGGCTCTGTGTCTTTCGTTTTAAGAAATTATTTATGTCAATTCATTTTATTGTAGTAGAATACCTAATTCTGTCTTGGCTTCTCAACAATTAAGGAGATAGGTTGTTCCACTGTTGTATAAATGTCTCCAAGGTGGGTCATCAGGTGATCTGACTGTAATTGGGATCTGGGCTCTGATTGAACTATATAGTTATATGTAGTGGAAGCACACTGGAGTGTTTTGACTCCATTCATTACTCACTAGCTGTGGTACTTTAGGAAATAACTTAACCTCTCAGCACCTCAGGTTTCTCATGTGCAAAGTGAGGGTTAACTGCAGCCTTTGCCCTGAGGGCAACCTGCATCAAATAGGCAAGGCTGGCCCTTGGCCCTAGCCTGTAATCATTACTCAGCTGTCATTAATTCCTTTCTTCCCTCTTTCCTAAGACAAGCAATGTAGAAATTGTCTAAATAGAAAACCACGAAGATCAACACTTAGAGATGTGAACTGGATAATTTGGAGGATAGCTGCTGGTGAAGGACTTAAGTCTGTTTCCAAAGATGACAGTATGGTAAGATGTTCCCAAACACTGCCTCTTTATATGGGCATCAATGATGTTCTCAGTCCAAATACCACTGACTTCTACGTTTCTCTCAGACCTAATAGATGTTCTTTTTGGAGAGGAATGTGACTGGCATTTTCTTCCAGTGCCAACTATCTGTTTTCCTAGGGGTTAAAGACCAAAATATGGGCACAACCTGGCACTACTAATCTGCTGTAGTTTATTTGTTGGAGGAAGATAACCAAGACAGAATATACTTCAGCACAATTAGAACTCCAGATTATCACATTTTATTGTAACTATTAAAGGGCCCAATTGTTGGCACTCATTACAAAAGTCACCATTAATACATTAGGTAGTTTTGTGCCAGGATGCATAGTGTTGTATAACAAACATAATAGACATAGTGGAAAGAAAAACACCCCAGTATATCATTCCCCTCATCCTCAAAAGTAATTACTGGCATCCTCAAAAATAATCCGCCTTCCCAAATGTTTTTTTTTGTATACTTTTGGAAGGTATGTTTTAGTTTAAAGATATCATTTGGTGAGGTGGCTGCTTATTGTTTAAAATTAAATAAAATAAAGCAACTTGTGGCATCATTTTTATGCTCTGCCTATACCAACTCCAGTTTTCAGTGATTTTTAAAGTTTATTTTCAAAAACAATTTATTTATTTTTATTTCATCAGCAATGCTGTTTTGCTGGCATGAATGTCTCTGTAAGGATGTTAAATACTCTGAAACTGGAGTTACAGACAACTGTGAGCTGCCATGTGAATGCTGGGAATTGAACTTTTGACCACTGAGCCATCTCTCAAGCCTCAGTTTTCAATTATTTTGTCAGGGTTTGCTCCAATGCTCTTTGCATCACAGTATTTAAGAGATGTCTGTGGTCAGAGTCACCTTTTTATTGAGTCAATTTATATGATGCTGCTTTAAATAATAAGACATAAGGATACATTGCCTTGGTTACTTTTTGCTTCAAGTCATTGGGCCTGTTTCATCTTCCTAAATCTTTAGAACTTTGCTATAGAGTGTTTATAATTTCTTACCCTATATTCTTAAGGTTATCTAGCAGCAAAACTTTAATAGCCAACAAGCCTGAGAAATGACATACCTTTGTCTTAGTGAAACAACAAAAAACTACAATCCCCCTAAGAATGTAGTATCTGGATCTCAACTGAGAGTTTCCTAAATATGTCAATTTGACATCTGTGAAATTGGTCAGAGTTTTATTTTCTGGTTTTATAGCTAGTACCTGGATATCAGCTACAGCATACCACATAGCATTCTAGCCTCAGAGCAGTGTCATGGCGCAGGAACTATCGCTGTCCCATTTTACAGGAGATACAAGGTCAGAGAGTAATTGCGGAGATCATAAGGTTGTTATGTAGGGAAGCCAGGGTTTGAACATAGGAAGTCAGCCTGAGTTCACCAGCTGAATCCCTACATATCACAGCCTTGATGTTAGAAAGCCTAGGGACTTAAACACAGACTTTCAACTCAACATATGAAAATGTTTGCCCTGCCATTAATCAGAAAAGTGCCCTGCCTCATTTAAAACTCTTTCCAACTTCCAGTCATTCAATTACACAAAATTTTGGGGAGAACATATCTCACCCTGATTATATACAAAGGGGCATATTGTTAATGCTGATCACCATTCCCTCCCTGGGCCAAATCTTACCATTTCAGTGATGGTTATCTCTCCTACATTCTTTCCTGTGCATTTCAGATATTTATAATACCCAACTAATTGTTAGAATACACAGCAAAATTTGGCCAATATTTTTACACCTCAGATTGAGGGAATAAAACATATTCCACAATTGCCAAATGGCTCTTCTGGAATCTTTGATTACATGAGTTTTCTTTGAATTGAAAATAAACAATGAGACCTTTTTAAGACTCATTTCTATTGTCTTGATTGCTATATTTGCTAAAAATAACAATGTGTATGTTATGGGTATGAGAGCTCCATTTGCTTATGTGGTTTGGAAGCTTATTAATTGTGTTTTCATGGTTTCTATAAACACATGAAAAATATGCCCAATAATAGTCTTGGGGATTGCAGAGTCCCACCAGTTTAGAGATGCCCTGAAGTTCATGCAATGGGGAACATTTGCCCTGGGAACCACCCACTACGCTTGGAATGCACCAGCAGGAGAAGTTCAGAGCAATTTGAGGCAGGCACTGGGCATTAGTCACAGGGTCAGAATAACTGTCCATCACTCTGAAAGGACTGATATTTCAGGCCCTATTTTTATAGTTGAGGAGTTTAAAATAGGTAAAGCCAGGCTAAAACTGCATCTCTTCTGGCTGCTATCCTCAGGGCCTTATTTTCCTCAGCAACCCAAACATATTAATAGTTCAGAAAAACAGACTAGAAATATTTTTCAGAGATTTTTTTATGTGAGAGGAAGCTTATCAAACTCTGGAAACTTTTACCTTTCTTTATAATCAGGTTTTCAAAACTTCCTCTGTTTCTGCACCCATATAAATAGGTAGAAAACTTTGGACTGTCTAATTAAAAATCGAAGACTCAGTTCTGGCTATGACTCCTGTTTCTTTTTTAAGTATTGCATACTGAGGCTGCCTTGTAACTTAGTTTAGGTCAAGCATGTTTAGAATTTCCTCCTCCACAGATATTTTACATTGTTCCTCATGATGAAATTGTGGCTAGCATCTTCTTGACTTCAGATAAAACTAGATAACTTTGTTTAATAGATCATTCCGAGCAATAAATCTTAGCATTAATGCTGAAAGTAAACTGTTTATTTTGTCCACAATGCATCAGAACCTATTGTCCATTGAGAAAATCTAACTCCTAGAGGACTTAAAAATGTCAGCTCTTTACTTTTCTAGCTTTCCTTGCAGCTTGGATGGCTGAAGTAATAAAATTGAGTTCTGGTACAAGATTTGTAATAGTTCAAACTTGAGTGTTGAGCATTTGCTGATTATGGGTACATTTTCTCATTATAAATCTGTGATGTGCTTTTGTGTTTCATTCATAAAAGTTTTCCCTTAACCTGGCTCCCAAAACCCAAACTTTCATCAGCATCTAGGGGTAGAGCCTTGTGAAATTTAAATACATGTACTTATGAGCAATGCATGTTATAAATGTAATTTATGCATATATTACATATATATCACATTATACATATATATGTATACAATACATATGTATAATGTGATATATGTAATATATAACATATTGAGTTCACTTGGCATTGTTCATGTGTGTATGTAACAATAATTAAAAAGAAGAGATCAAGAGTTTGAGAGGGAGTTGGAGGTAGGGACTTGGAAGAATGTGGAGGCAGAGAAGGAAGGGTAGAAATGTTAATACAGTACTCATCTATGAAGTTCTCAAAACAGTTTAAATAAAAAAATCAAAATTTTGAAGATATAATACTTTCTTAACATAAAATTTTCTGTTTGATTAGCTAGAATTTTCTCCTGTCATTTGCACATAAAAGTAATGGCAACAAGACAGCACTTCATTATGGTTGAGTTAGGCGTTATGTGAGTCTTTGAATGTGTTAACTCACACAATCTTCCCCACGTGTGAACGAGGAACCGCAGACACAGAATGCACCTGAATTTATACACATAGTGTTAATGACAGAGATACAAGTGAATTCTAAGACCACACTTTTAGTCACAACATCGTTTTTCAGGGTTCTTACATTATCAGCCCATATTCTCACTTTATGGGAAACAAAACAAAGTTCAGAGACATTACATAAATTGTCTACAATTCCAGCATTTTAGCTTATTGCAGGAAACACTATACTGGAGGTCCCGTGCTTCTCAGTTGAGTGAGCTTTAGGACATATTTGTTATTCAAAATGTTTTTGTCCGTGTTCTTTTTAGGTTATCAGCCTTTTGCCCTCTATGCTGCTTTCTTTCCCAGCTTCCACAAACAGGGAGACCAGATGGTTTCTCCTTGTGTGTGCGTCCATTTGTAAACAAGGAGAGCATTTTTGAATGACCCCTTACCTAGTTGCTATTAACTTCAATTCTTGTAATGACTTGGGATTTTTATATTAAGTTTGTAATATTTTTTT